TTTCGCGGGCCGCGGGTTAACCGCGGCCTGTGAAGCCTAAACCCGCGAAACCTGCGGGTCACAACTTTTTGGCCCGTGAACCGCCCGCACGGGTCGGCCCGTCCGTCTTGACACCTCTAATGCTACGTGAATATAAAAGTGGATATAAAACTTGATATAATATCACATTACATTTTATCATTGGATAGATTAAAACGTAATTAACTTTTATATCAAAACATCTACTGTCACATACAGTTATGTCAATCTTTCTGACAAAATAGCTTTATCCTTAAGCAAATAACATCTTAAAACGAAAAACATTCAACCTTCAAAAATTTAGAGCGTATTTGATTGACTTTATTTTTCATTAAAAATGTCATTTTTTTCACCAAAATTTTTATTTTTTGAATGTTTGATTGACAATATTTTTCATGAAAAATATTTTCCAACTTTTGATCACGTGGCTATATTTTTCTCGAAAATAAGAAAAATATTATCTTTAATGAGTGATTTTTTTTTCATTTTTTTAAAGGTAATTCACTCACTCTTTCTCTCCCACATCTATCAACTCTCTCCCATTTACCAACTAATAAAAAGTGAATAAGTATAATAATTTAATTAATAATTTACATACAAATAAGTTTTAAATAATTGAATTCTCTAGAATTTATTTTCTTTTTATGCAAACTTCATACTCGCATTCAAACGTATTCTAATTTTTATCTAGTTTTCTACATAAATAATTGAGTATTGTGAACGTTGGATCTCGACTAATGTAAATGTTACATTTGAGTAATAAGTTGAAAGGTAAATAAAGCCCACTTATGAAAGTGAAAAATATTATTTTATTAAAGAATATGTGGTTGAAAATGAGAATTGATTTACTGTAGAAAAATTTAGGTTGTGTTTGATACCAATTTTTGAGAAAATTTTGATTTTGAATAGTGATTGATGGAAGAATGAATGGTTAAAAAGTAAGGAGAATTTTTGGGTTTATGTGTAATATTATTTTATTAATAAAATGTGTGGTTGAAATGAAGAAAAAGAAAAAGAAAAAAATGAGAATGAAAATGAAAATGTGGAAAAAATGGATGTCAAACAAGGGCTTAATCCCTTCCAAACAAGGCGTAAGTAAGAAAATTTAAACGTCGTGGTAAAGTGAAATACATCTAATTAAACACGATTCTATTCGATGTCATGTGAAAAGCGTCCTATATGTAACCCGATTTTGTTTTGTTATGTTTGTCACTTTATTTGAGAATGGGACTTCCCATCGAAACCGTTAATATACAAGACATTTAGCAACGGTGCAGATGAAAAACCTTACGCGGTCTCACGGAATTACCGTGGACCGCCTTACAGGTTAAAACAACTAAAGAGATACAGATACAAACGCTGAAACGCATACATCTAGCCCATAAGCAAGAAAAAAAAATGAGAATAAAAATGTGGAAAAAATGGATGTCAAACAAGGGCTTAATCCCTTCCAAACATGGCCTAAGTAAGAAAATTTAAACGTCGTGGTAAAGTTAAATACATCTAATTAAACACGATTCTATTCAATGTCATGTGAAAAGCGTCCTATATGTAACCCGATTTTGTTTTGTTATGTTTGTCACTTTATTTGAGGGACAATGCTAGGGGTACATAAGGATCTACATGAGGGTCTACATAATGCATATGTGGCATGTGATCCCACCTTTAATTCAAATATGACACTTACACATCAATCATCGGATGATTGCCACATATGCATTATGTAGACCCTTATGTAGATCATTATGTACCTTTACCATTATCCTTATTTGAGAAGGGGACTTCCCATCGAAACCGTTAATATACAAGACATTTAGCGACGGTGCAGATGAAAAACCTTACGCGGTCTCACGGAATTACCGTGGACCGCCTTACAGGTTAAAACAACTAAAGAGATACAGATACAAACGCATACATCTAGCCCATAAGCTGTTGAAGAATTCGCCCAAAAAGACCAGTGAGATGGAGGAAAAGCTAAGAGACTCCACAGGAACTCCGCCGCCGTCCGCCACTGTAACTCAGTCGAAGCCTCCTGAGGCTCTGCCCTCGGAGCAGCCCACCTCAAGGCGGAGAGGCGGTGGCCACAAGCGGAAATCGGCCTCCATTAACAGTGGCGGTGGTTCAACTACTCAGGCCATTTCCTCCAAGCGCCAGGCCAGAGAGAAGCCATCTCCAGTGCCATTTCCTCTGATCCACCACAATGGACCATTCACTAGGGCGCGGATGCAGCCGAACAACAACGGTATGTCGGTGGTGGAGCCAACGGAGCGAGTTCGCATAGAAACCTCGATGAAGAAAGAGGATTCGATTGAAGTGATCGAAAATTGGGAGGCTTTAGAGGCGAAGATTGAGGCTGAGTACGAGGCCATTAGATCGAGAGATGCAAATGTCCATGTGGTGCCTACTCATGCTGGTTAGTGAGTTTTTCTTGCATAGTTTAGTGCTAAGGGGATTTTTTTAATTTTCTATTCTGAGCAGTGAAAGTTTAGTGATTTAGAGAAAGATGCAAATTATTGTATTTTCTTAGTGTAATGTTCCTCTTTAAGCTTCATTTTCAAGCCTTTTGGAGATGAAGGTGAAATTTTGTTTAGGGCTTTTGGTTTGAAGTACTACATCCTCTCTCCTCGCCATTTTGTTTGTTGAAATTCTGAAATTTCTTGTCAAAAGTTCAGAAAACGAAAATCTCCAAAGAGCTCCCAATTTCAGAATAGACATAGAAAACAATGTTCTCGATCAAGGGTGTAATCTTTAAAGGTTTATCTATTTGGGTATGAACAAAATTTTAACAGGTGTTTTCTAAATAAACTAAATCAATTGTTTAGATCAATAAAATGCTATCACATTGTACTAATAAAAAACAATAAATCAAGATTCCCTTATTTAAATTCTTCTAATTTCTGGGTTCTATTTGTGTCACTACATCTTCGAGAGCTATGAAGTTTGTTGTTTATCTGTTAATCTAGATTATATAGTTCTTCTTTCATACAAACAGGGATATATATCTTACACTGATACTTCTATTTGTCTATTGCTTTATGGTTTATAGGATGGTTTTCATGGGAAAAAATTCATCCCCTGGAAGAGAGAATGCTTCCGTCTTTCTTTAATGGGAAATCTGAGAGTAGGACTCCTGATATATATATGGACATACGGAATTCGATCATAAAGAAGTTTCATTCCAATCCCAATGCACCAATAGAGTTGAAAGATTTAGCTGAACTCACAGTTGGAGAATTGGAAGCTAGGAAAGAGGTGATGGAATTCTTGGATTATTGGGGTTTGATTAATTACCACCCATTCCCATCCAATGGATCTGATACGTTGGGTCCTGATTCTGGCGCCAATGCCAGTGCTGATGCTGATGAACCAGGAAAAACAGATTCTTTAGTTGAGAAACTCTTTCGCTTTGAAACAGAGCAATCACGGACTCCAGTTGTTCCCAGAATTAACCTGGCAACACCAGCTATGTCATCTGGATTGGTTCCAGATAATGTCGTTGCCGAAGAATTGATGAAGTCTGATGAGCCTTCAGTCGATTACCACTGCAACTCCTGTTCGGCAGATTGTTCTCGGAGACGCTACCACTGCCAGAAGCAGGTTTTTTGTATTTTACAGTACTTTTGCCTTGTGTGGAAATTCTTTAATCAGCTAAAGAATGCATCTTCCAGGAATGTGCTTGAGCTTTTCAGAGCACAACCTGCAATTAGTCATTACATTTGTCGTGTCCATTATTTTTAGATGTCATTTACTTTTCAATGGTTATGGAAAAAGTGTTGAAACTAAAAATCGGCTAGTTTCGTCTGGTTGCAGCTTAAATTTTTGTTCCTTAATGCCAACACACTTAAGCTCATGTACACAGACAAACTTTTGGAATCTTATAGCCTACTAGCAACTACCAGGTTCTGTCATTTGGATATTCAGTGTTCAAATTTTTGGTGTCATTTAATTAGATCATTGTTTATAATCAACAAACTAGTGAACATAAGAAAAGTGACAAATTGAGTTGAAACCTCCACAAAATTAAAATGTGGCACAACCTAATTAGAGAAAATTGTGTGTTGCTCTACTCAAAGTCTGTGTGCCACTTTCTTATTGTGCATCAGCACAGCAATATATATGTCTCCATTTCTTATTTCTACATTGTAACTGACTCTAGATAATAGTTGCTTGAAACTATGTCCAGTAATTTATCAAAATGGGTCATTGCTGTGTGGTACTGGAAACAGAGTTGCTTGTCAGAGACTGGTAATACAAGTTACACGTGCTAATGTTGATGCTTCAAATGTATTTATTTATTCTTTTTTTTTTTCCCAAAAAACAAATGATTTGTTTCTGATAAGAAGTAAATCCTAAGTTTTTTCTTTATGATTGAAATTGAGGAAGTATGGTTGTCTAGATTGATTCTTTCCTTTCCTGTTTTTTTATTCTTTTCAAGAAATTTCTGTCTGCTAAATCCAATATGTTTACAGGCAGATTTTGATTTATGTGCTGAGTGTTTCAACAACGGGAAGTTTGGCTCGGACATGTCCCCATCGGATTTCATTCTCATGGAGCCTGCTGAATCTGGTGGTGCAAGTGGCGGAAAGTGGACAGATCAGGAAACTCTTTTACTCCTTGAAGCTATAGAAATTTTCAGAGATAACTGGAGTGAGATTGCTGAGCATGTAGCTACGAAGACCAAAGCTCAATGTATTTTGCACTTTGTTCAAATGCCAATTGAGGATGCATTTTTCAACCATGGTGATGAAACTGATGCAACTCCTAAAGAAAATGGATGTCCAGTTTCCGGCAATACTGATACTTCAGCCTCTAAAATTGACCAACAAAAAGATACTTCAGCTCCTAAAGACATCATTGAGAAAACAGAAAGTCCAGGCGATGCGAATGACAACCAGTCTTCATGTTGTCCCATGGAAATTTCAAAGCCAGATGAGGAGGACAACAAATCTGATGTTGAACCAGAAGATGGGGAGAGCTGTGCACTGAAAGCACTCAGAGAGGCATTTGAAGTTGTGGGTTCTCATCCCTTGCCTGGAGAAAGACTATCATTTGCTGAAGCTGGTAATCCAGTGATGACAATGGTAAGTTTGTTTATTGACTTTGGATGCCTGCATGGTGCTAGTATAATGACTACTTAGTCTTGGTTTTGCTTGGAAAACCAATTGCAAAATACTCGCTCGAAGAAAAAATGGAGTATAGTATATGTTGTTTTTAAATTCCTACTGAATGAATCTCATGAGGTGTGATATCTAATGTACAACCCCATTAAGTAATTATTATTATCACATTGTCTGTCACGGGCCATTTATAAATGAACTGGTTGGACCAGTTAGCCCAATTGAACCAATGCCTTAACTGGGTAATGGCTGTGCTGAGTTTGATTGACTTGCCTATAACAATTGATAGGAAAATATTGAGTTCTTTTCTGTTGGCATTTAAATGGTGAATTTCTCTCCTCTAGGCAGCATTCCTGGCACGATTGGTGGAACCTAATATAGCTGCTGCATCAGTTCGTAGCCTTCTAAAATCGTTGTCTGGAAATTCCAGCGAGCAGCTTGCTGCAAGGCACTGTTTCCGATTGGAAGATCCACCAGACAACAATAAGGAGTCAGTTGACTCGGAAGGGTTTGTGAACTTCTTTATCATTTTTATTGCCAAAAGAGTATGAATACCATGACTAATGTCAACACAAATTTGCAGAGCAGCAGCTGAAACCATTGGGCTGCAAGGTCAAAAGAACGAGGACCTTCATGCTGAAAAGCAGAAAGTAGAAAAGTCTGATCCAGTAGTCAGTGAAATCAGCTCCCAAAATGATGATGATGATAACGAAAACAAGGATTCTGCTACAGAAGAACTGAAACTTGTACTCTCTCCCAGTAATGAACTTGCAGACAGGTCTTCTGATACTGGGAAAGAGCCTGAAGAAATGATCAATCAAGAGGAAGGCCATACTGCCCCAGTTATTGAATCAAGTAGCCCAGATTTGCCAGATGAACAATCAAAAAAAAATGCAGAAGAATCAGCTATTTCAACATCAATGGTTGAGCTTCCTCCCAATGCTGCCAAAGAGTCAGGGAATGGAGCTTCAACGGTGGGCACTTCTCAGACTAAAGATCCTCCAAAAGATGGAGGTAAATTGTCGAACTCTGGGAAGGAAGAAACCGAGCAATTGGTAGCACCAAATTCAGTGACTGAAAAAGAAGAAAATACAGGTGCATTTCAAAATTTTCTCTACCATGTTATTTAGGGCGTGTTCAGTAAAGATTAAAATCGGATTAAAATTGAAAAATTAGCCGTTATTGTTGACTTTTATTAGACGAGTGGGATCTAATAACGGCTATATTTTCAATTTTAATTAGATTTTAAGCACAACCAAGCACGTCCCTAGTTGCTAGAGCTTATGTTGATAATTTGAAGAAAGAAAATCTCGGATATTATTTATCGCTAGGTAGTGTTTGATTTCTTCAATGTGAAGAGTTAATGTAATTTGGTGTCAACATGTAAATTCATTGAACATGGTCCATTCTCTAGAGTCTAGACTACACTGGATTTTTGGGTATATATCAAACGGAATCCTTGCCTGGTGTTATATATACAATTAATGGGGTTTAAATAATTGGCATCTTCACCTTTAAATAAGGTTGTTTTGATGGATATTATTGAGGAAAGAACGTATTTTAAATAGTGATACGATGGAAAATATGTGGTTAAAAAGTAAGGAAAAGTTATTGATATGATGAAAAAATTATTTTATTGGAAGATGTGTGGTTGAAAATGAGAAATAATATATTTTGAAAGAATGTGTACCAAACGGGGGCTAAATTTGTCATCCAGTTCGCTTGTTCAAATGTATGTCCAAACAACTCGCGATTGAATATTTCCCTGTATTGCTAACCCCAGGTATAGAGGAAGCAAAAGAATGTGGTCATGACAAGAGAGAGCCCTTAGCTAAAGAAGCAAAGGAATGCGATAATGAAAATAAAGAGAACTCAGTGACCAAAGATCATCTTCCTATTGATAAGTTAAAGCGAGCTGCAGTAACTGCTGTATCTGCTGCAGCAGTGAAGGCAAAGCTCCTCGCAGACCAGGAAGAGGGTCATATTCGCGAGCTTGCTGCATTGTTAATAGAAAAGCAGGTATTCTCATATCAACCAGCATTGCTTGCTTTTCTTCTCTTGTTAGCAGAGTTGCAAAGGAACTGAGCGGTTTGAAATGGTTAATTTTGGTTCCCTTGCACTTCAAAAGCTTGTTTGACGTTTTCGTTTTTGTTGATAATCTTGTTTCATTAGTTTCTTTATTATTCCTTTAAGATGTGAAGTATTCTACATTTTTCTATTCTTATCAATAACATGCATGTGTGCTAGTAAGTGGTTTTGTGGTTCTATGGTGAGTAATGTGTTTTACCTGCTTGATATTTTGACATTGTTGTAAATTGGATCGAGGTAGACTGATATACTTCTGTCAGACATGAGATATACTGCATTTGAGGAGGGAAGATATTTTACCTTATAAAATCATTTGAGAGGGGAGATCAGTTCATGAGCTCAGCCCCAGAATAGTTTGCAAATTATGTCTTAATTCGAGCAGGACTCCTGGTCTTCTTGAGTTCTAGCTACATTCTAGCTCTCTTTGGACCTGTAAGATGAGCTTGAGCATGCTAAAGCTCAGCTTAGCTTATTTTATGTCCTATGAGTGCAATTCTTCTCTGACCTGTAGACGTTCTTGTTTGCAGTTACACAAGCTGGAGACCAAGTTGGCTTTCTTTAATGATATGGAAAATGTGGCAATGAGGGTCAAGGAACAATTGGATAGGTCAAAGCAGAGGCTGCTTCATGAGAGAGCGCAGATTATTGCAACACGGCTGGGCATGTCAGCTTCCTCAACTCGTCCTATGTCGCAGTCTTTACCACCCAACAGAGTTCCGACTGTTCCGAACTCGGTATCAAGAACCTTTATGGGTATGACATCCTTAAGGCCTCCAATTTCAAGGCCGATGATGTCAACAAATCCTACTTCAGGCTCGTTTACGTCAGGAACAATGACAGGAAATTCCATGCAAACTAACTCAGATAAGCTTTCCTTTGTTGGCAGAAAGTAGATTTTACTCTAGTAAAATTGGGAATGTGTTTCTGTCTGAGAACCAGATGTTTGCTATGTATCTTCTACCGAGTGAGTATTTTCCATAAATGTGTCTAGTCTAGTTTTCAATTTAAAAATGGAAATTGCGAAAAACTGGAAGTGCTGTTATGGGAACTTGACAATTTTACCAGCTCGATATAGTTAGATCCGAGGGGTTTGGAGAACTTATATATATATATGACACAATGAAGTATCCATGACATGGTTGGAAATTTGCTAGAGCACCTCCAAAGTTGGAGCTTTGACATTTCATTCTTTTTCCTTTTTCCGGTGTATGTGCATTGGTGGGGAAACAGATTGCTCGAGAGGAGCTCTTTAAGTTTCTCAATAGAACACCCTGAGAGTGCTATTACTGCTTCAAAGAGCTCTGTGTTTGATTGAAGTGCTGTTGCAACCTTTGCTTTTTCCTTTTTCTGCAACTGTTATTCATGAATTTGCAGTTTGATTACAAACTTTTCAGCTTGGTGAACGGATCTTTCCTCTAGCCGTACTAAGGTCTAAGACATCCAAAAGTCCGGGAATTTGCTGCAAACGCGACAATTACACCGAACTTAAAGACAAGGACTGCAACTTTTGTTACCAATCATTTATTGCATTCCTGTGAGTGAGGAAAATTATCCATTAGATGCTAATCTTCTACAGCTGATTGATGCAAGTATAAGAGAGAGCATCGTAGAGGCCTACTCTTTTACTTGCCACAATGGTTGAACTTGAATTTTTTACAATTTTCTAGTCAAGTAGGTAGGGAGCTTAACTTGTATGTCCAATGTATAGCTGTTGTAGATTCATATTTTAATGTGTTCTATTCGAAAGTGATTTTCATAAAGCTGCAAGAAATGATAAACAGCTTACCGTATGTCTCTAGTATTACTGTTACGCTGTGGTTTTCATATTCAGAGTCTCGCCTGTGGGTTCTGACAGTATGATTGCATTGGGAGTTGATTTTCTCTATTTGTTAAGTTGAAGCTGTTGTGAGTTGTGACATGGTACCCTGAGGGGATGGTTTGTAGCTGTGGGTATTTTGGACTTGTTAAGGTTTGGGATCTTAGACAGCCTGGAAACGTAAACAAAAACATCAAATAGAATATAAAACGGTAATTCACCTCTTTAGATTAAATTCAGCAACAACCCTGAAATGTTTAAACTCAACAGGAAAGTCATCTCTTTTGCAAGATGTAGGTACATGGAACTAAATTCTAAAAGGATACATCACGGGTAACGGTGACTGGTAATAAGCCAGCTAACGGTTATGCATGGGGGCATCTTTAACTGTAGGAAGAGTCAGTTTACAGACACACAAATGGAACAGAAAGAGAAAAAGATATGCTAGCAAGATGTTTGCAAACACTAGTTTATACACCAGTTCTTAATAAAGCAACAAATCTCGTAAAACTCCATGAAAACAAAGCAGTACAGACATTAGCAGTCACTACGGGGGTATCGTTCACTCCCCTATGAAAACATTTGTATACAGATGTAGCCCCAGAATAAACAGAAAATAAGAGCCAAGGATTGAGATTGAGATTGAGATTGAGATTGAGATTGTTGAATCCTGAACCCTCTTTTAGCAATCGCAACCAGTTGGTCTTTGCTGACTACTGCTTCCAACGTCAATTGTGTCAGGCAAGTATCTTCATAACATCAAGAGTTCCCCAAAAAGGTGTAAATCAACATGTTAGTGCAATTATCATTATCAATTTTAAAGTACAGGAATTTATTGAGATAAGAAAATGATAATTTAGCATCACTTAAACCCACATACATCATTGGAATTAAATTGAAGCAACTGAGCAGCATATTAAGCTGATTATTATGTGCAAATACTTCATAACAGATATTATTTTATGTAAAGTTTCCATCCGTGGACTTCAAATTAAGAAACGTAAGATTCACAAGGGAGTAAACCAAATTGCAAGTTAGCAGCATAAATTCTACCAGAACGAGGCAAAAGCTTGGTGCTCTGTGTTTTTCACCCAATACTCAAGTTGCAATCACCAACAGCAATGGGACAGAAAATTCAGATATTCATTGAAAGGACCACCACATTCAAACTATATTCCCTGAATAGTGACATCTCACTAAACCTATGTGCCAACCACGTCATTGCTTCATCTATCTAATGCTAGTATGTAATGCATCCATGGAAAACCAAAACAGCATTCAGAATGATACATCGTGTCTGAAGTTTTTCCACCTCAAACTACCAACTTCATATATTAACAAGCTGTGTTTTTTCTTTGAAAAAAACATATAGAGGATGTTTGGTAGAGATTAAAATCAGATTAACATTGAAAAACTAGCCGTTATTGTTGACTTTTATTAGATGAGTGAGACCCAATAACGACTATATTTTCAATTTTGAGTGGGACCCAATAACGGCTATATTTTCAATTTTAATTGGATTTTGAGCCGTACCAAACAGGCCCATGGTATGATCATTTTTGCAGTGCTTAACCTGGCCAATTTATGTCTCAAACACAAACATGGATAACGAACATATAGACGTCAATAAACATGTGTACGAGTATAGAACTCTTATACGTTACTTGGCATATAAAAACTACGTTGTAACTCATAAGAGTTAATAAATATAATCTACAAGTAAATATTTTCCTCTCTATGATTTTAGGGATAATAATTGCAAGAAATAGATAGTGGCGACTAAATTGACTTTCAGAGTGGTTCAACTGCATTCTAACTTTACCTTGCTTCCAAAAGTAAACCTGTTTAGTCTAAAATTTAATAGACATAAACTGCACTAAAGAAAATTTTCAAGTTACTAGACTAAGTTCAAGGAAAACTAGACCACGTTTTTCTTGCCAAAACCAGTTTCACCTCTTTTGGAAAACTACGTTCGTGCATGTGTGTGAATTGAACTATTAAAAATAGGAACCAAATATGGCTTTATGGCCTTTTTGTACTCACATTTCTTCTTCTTCACCACTCTTCAGGGCATTCTTTGCAATGACCTGGAATGCTTCTTCAACATTGGTGCCTTCCTTGGCAGACGTCTCAAAGTATGGGATATTCCCTTTTGAGGCACACCATGCCCGAGCCTTTTTCTCGGATACCTGCAATGAAGCAAATAAAGCATTGTCTTGTCATCCATCACAAAAAGAACAGTTATTCTAATTATTAAAATAAATAAAAATTTCTTAACAGAAGCAAAAACTTTGAAGAGTTTCCCCACCCCCAACTCCCACAACAAGCTACTTGTTCCTAAAAAACTTGTGATCAATTACCTAAATCTGTTTTCGTCCTTCCATTCAAACGTGTGCTAAAACAATCCAATGAAATCTATTTCTTCGCAACCAGATCAAACCATGTAAAATTAAATGTCTCTCTCCCTCTTCCAACCTGTTCTATTAAGATCTCATTGCTCTCGCGACATGAAACTTAATTAGGTCTTCACAAGATCTGCCCCAATCATTTAAGTCGTCATTTTCATGCCACCTCCATGTGTTGGTGGATATCTTTACATTGTATTTTATCCATTCTCGTACATCTGGAGATGATCTTGTCTTCTTCTATTTTTATCATGGTAACATTCTATCCATAAAAATCCAACACTCGCTACCATAGAGTGTGACTCCTAGGTAACCAATCTGTAGAACTGTAGAACTGGCCCTTTGACTTGGTAGGTATCTTCTAATTACAAAAATCCCTTCAACATTCTTCATATCACCCGACGCACTCTAATTTTCTGCATTGCATCCTTTTCAAGTACTGCTTCCTTATTAACAATCAGACGTAAATGGTAACATGATTGCACTTTAAGACAATATGATCCAAAGTTATGATGGCATTGTTATCCGTATTGGTACACATTCTACTTATTCAGTTTTAGTTCTACTTGACCTAAATCCTCGAGATTACAAAATTTGCTTAATGATTACTTGCAAAAGCATATCATAACAGCCCCCACCCTAGAAAAAAAACATAAAATGACTATAAACAAGAGAAATGGGAAAGAAGATTACCACTCTACTATTTCCACCATCCACATCAACCTTGTTTCCAATAACAACAAATGGAAAATTCTCTGGATCCGATGGACTGGCCTGCAAGGAAAATTTCAGACTTAATAGTGCTTTTCCAGTTTCTTCAATGTCTAGAGAGTAGTCCATAAAAGTGTCATTCACATCCCAAACTAGACTCCATTCGTTTCGTCAATAACCAACCAAATTGAAAATTTTCATAGACCTTAAAACAATATAATTGCACGAGTAAAACAAGACTGTGTACATAAAAAATAAATGCCGTGGCCCATTGACCAAGTATACAATAACCATTGATATTTCTCCAGTGTCACAATGAAATAAATTAGAAATTAAGAACTTTGTGAATAACCAAAGCTACATATTGGAAGGTCATGGGTCCTCCTTTGGCCTTTATTGGTCAACAGTTATGCTCTGGATACTAACTATGATGCACGAACACTTCTACAAGGATGGTGAGAAAGCACCGACACTCTATGACATGGGTCCAATAAGCCACATGCTGCATTCAATTACTTATATTTTTGAAATTTCTAATGCTCGAGGGATACTTAGGAACATTCCTCGGTCAGTACAAAATAAAGATCTAAAATTCCCCCGACTTGTCCGCATCCTAATTTTTTGAATAATCGTGTGTCGTGTCTTTACTTGTCCCGTCTAAGTTTGGTCAACATCTTCCCCTCGCCTTTAATATGTGTTGCACGAACACTTCAATCAGAACGATGTGTCCACGTCCGACACATGTCGAATACCGACACTCTTCCATGATCATTTTTCATTCTTTTTCATAAATATTATATTTTAAACACAAAGTAAATAATAAATAAGTGCTCATATTTAATAGATTTCAACCAAATAAAAATTAATAACAAGTATAAAACTAAAATTATCCTATATAAATGAAGAATTTTAAAGAATTTAATCAACGTATTGACAACATGTTGTGTTATTACTTTTTGAA